AAAAAAAAAAAAAAAAAGCACTAAGCCCCAGATATGACACCTCATTAGCAAATTCCTAGACCAGCAAGGAGGCCGGAGAGATGTATGATTAAGAATGCCTGAAGTAAGCCAAAATAATTCAGCAAGCCAAAACATTCAGGCTAGATTCTTAAGGAAGCAAGGATTATAGGCTCATACTGTGACCCCCCCATGCTTTTTACCCCCTACATCCTCCCCAATAACTTCTTATGCTCATCAGCTTAACTTCAGCCACATTTGAGAGCACTGCAAGTTTTAAAGATACCAATCCCCTCTCAGTTCCACTCTATCAGGTGCACAGGTGAAGCATCCTCAAGGACTAAGAAGCTGAGCTTTCCCTACTGGACACCAGAAAACACTGAGGACAGAGGTTATGGATGCCTCACAATTTTTCTCAACCTTTGTTAAGTCTCCACCACCCACTTTTCTACCATTAGTATTTCCCTTGGAAGAAAATAGACATTTTAAGCTTTCATTTCCAAATAGACTATTTTACCACACAATTAGAAAATACAAGTTCTCTTTTCCATGTTGGGAAATATTTCTTTTGCAGACCACTGCCATATTTGACACAAATGCACTGTTTTATACTAAATACAGACTCAGTAAAGATGGTGATACAGCTCCTGCAAGAATTCTGCAGCTGCAGGGCAGCCAATCAATATTGCATTTCACCTCAGATGTGATTACCATTTCTCTCTCAAAAATAATAAAATTTGACGTGTCCGGTGATTAAACCTGTATCTATGGCAACACTCTGAAACCTCAGTAAATGTAAATATCTTTTGGCTCATTCAACAAGGGTGTCTTAAAGATCACATGGTAAAATTCCATTTGTGGTCACCTTGCTTCTCTTTCTGCTGAATTAATTAGGGCTACAGAAGAACCAGAAGTTAGTAAAACCAAATAAAATACAGAAGACAAGTGAATGCACCATTTGCAACATCTCTCCATCTCACAGCAGGTTTTTATAACAGCCTAAAAAGTACATTTGAAAGAACATGAACAYTCAGGCTGGCCCTTGCTGCATTCTWCTGAGCATATTACAAGATTCATGGGGACAATGTGACAATTTCTTTAAAAAGAAAGGCATACAATACATAAAAATTCCTCTATCTGTTAGCAGCCTTTCTCTCAACTGCTGGAGTGAATCCCTCCACTCATTCGTGTTGAGCACAAATCTAATTCTAATGCTATTCCATTCTGAAGAAGAGTAAAACCARAAATGCCAGGGATGTAATTCTGCTAGTGACTGTTAAAAATGTATTAACATAAATCACTGCACACAAATGGCCTAATGATTCCCTGAAAATAAATTCAACATGGATTAGTATTAGACAAGGTTGAAYGGTTTTTCAATAAGACTCTTTGGTTGTTTCACATCTACAGAGATAAGCATTAAGAGCTCCCCTGGCTCATGCGTGCCAAGGTCTGGTGACAGTGCAGAGCCAGGCTGGGTGCACTGTCGTGCTCAGGACAGAAATGACAGCTATCCCTGGCCCCAGCAGGTCTGCTCTGCTTAGAGGGCTCAGCTGCACATCTCACCAATCCCTTGAACCTCATCATTACACTGAATCTGGACTGAACACAAAGAGAACAGAATGTAACCAATAGAACTCGGTGCTCATAATTTGATTGTAGCTTGATTCTGCATTTATAAGAAGTCTGKAAACTAAGGCTCATCATCTCCGCTTCCTGGGAATTAGATTACAAAGGAACTCAGAATTATRCTGCATTTACCAGCAGTATTTAATTAGGATCTGTGTTAACCATGATGTTGCTAAGAAGGTAACGAGGAAGTAAAACCAGAATTATTTCATTAAGCAAAGAAAAAACAGGGTCTGTAAAATAATGAATGATCCAAGCACACCTCCCCTCASTTGCAGAGCACGAGGCTGGCTCATCTCCCATGAGGGCAGAGATGCCATCCCATAGACAGCCTGTTGTTACAGATGCTCTTCCATCACCAGGACCAAAAGTGACTGGAGGGAAGCCAAGGTTAAAAGGAGACCAACAGAAATAAAACAGCAGCAGGAGAGCTGAAAGAAGATTGGCACATTTTAAAGCAAGCAGGCTGATTATGCAGGAAACCACAGAGCCCCAGCTCAGCCTTGGCAATAGCTAAAGGTCACCCTGCTGCACACGGATGTGCCCCAGGGGAGCTGCAGCACTGGAGAGCAGGAACACATCAGTGCCTTCAGGTGAAAGAAAGCAGGATGTTCAGCCAGGAAAACCATGCTAAAAATACACTTTCTGAAGGCAGGTGAGGAAGAAATAGAAGTGGACAAAAGGGAAATAACAGGTCACTAAGCATTCATTTCAAAATACCACAGGCTACAGACCTTCAATCCTCCTCATTAAGCCACCAAAAGAGTGAAGTAGAGAGTGTTGGCATTCTACATTTTAGCTGGCATGTGACTTACCCTACAGGAAAATTCTTTGAAGATATCCAGGAGCCCTTTTTTTTTTGAGAAACAGAATTTGACACTGACATTAGTGCCAGAGGCAGCACAGCCCTCCTGGGGCCATGCAAGTCAAAGGCATCCTAGAATGACATTAATTTGAATTAACTATCAGATGTTAAACTATGCACATAAGCCCTTCTGTAGATGTGAAGTTCAAGGCAGGATTAGGGGTGAATGTGAAATAATGTTTTTTTAGCACAGAGCTATATATTGAAAATAAAACCCTGAGTGATAATGGAACAGAAGGGCAATATGGAGTATTTGAGCCTTGATTCTTTCCTTAATTCTGGTGGTAGAGAAAGATTCAGTTTAMAGTGGACTCGATAACAACAGCCATAAACATGAAAGAAAACAATTGAGAAGTGGCTTTCACAAAAAGATGTTCTTGTTGATGAAAAAGGGGGTCCTATAACTACATAAGATTATTTCTCCAGTATTTCTGTGGAAAAATCACCATGACATCCTTACTGAACTATTTCTCACCAAAATCCTTATTAAAAGGAGAGTCCCAGARAGTTCATGTTACTCCAGCTAACAGTACCACACTTAGGTCCAGTGGAGACTCAAGTATTAAATTACCCTTCACCATTTGGCCTCTGAATTGAAATTTGTCATTATAACAACCCCAGAGCATGTTCAGCAGTTTCACTATCATCTACTACAATTCTGAGGCTGACATAGGAAACATGGCATGGAAATATGAGGGCTCAAATTTAAATTGGCTAAAATAAAGTTTATTTTACTGTTACAATATATAATCTTTTATCAACACAACTCACAAAGTGTTTACAAAATAATCTCATTTTCTGCTGCATTTTAAACACTACTTTTATACAAACTTTAAAGGTAAAATAGGAGATTGTAGCTAAAAAGGCTTTATGTTACATTTTTTAGAAGCATCACGAGAATTACTTCAAACAAAACTTTTTTTCCTTACGGTGCCACCTCCACAGACAAAACAATGTTTRTTGTAAAGACCTGAGGGAAGATTCATGAAAGCTTTCTTTAGGCAAAGGATGCCAGTCCTCTTAGGCTGACAGTGAACAAATACATTTGAACAAATATTTGAGCCCTTGCAGCCAGAAGGGTCAGTGGTATCCTGGGGTGAATTGGGAAGAGTGTGGGTCTAGGGAAGTGATCCTGCCCCTCTGCTCAGCCCTGGTGAGGCCACATCYGGAGTGCTGTGCCAGTTCTGGRCTCCTCAGTACAACAAAGACATGGAGCTCCTGGAGAGGGTCCASRTGACATCACAAARGGTTGCTCTGCTCCTCAGGGACAYTTAAACCTCCCTTGCTGCTCCTGGCAATGTCCCCTCCATGCCTTTCTGGCTGCCAAAGGCTTCCAGGTCTGGACAGAGCTCCGGGCTGCTGCTCAGGTGTCCCCAAGCTCCAGAGACCCTGCACRGCTCAAACTCTCCCCCTGGCCTTATGTCAGCTGCTGCTGCTGCCTCACCAACTGACTGGAAGAAAGAAAGGAGGACTGAAAGAAAGAACTTCTTAACATTGAGGGTGGCAGAGCACTGGAACAGCTGCCCAGGGAGGGCATGGAGTCACCCTCTAGAGACATTCAAAATCYACCTGGACAGTTC